CTTCATAACATAAAGGAATCTATAAACATCTTCCAATATTTTTTTTCCAAAGATACTTACTGACTCTGCATACCATAAAGGATAGAACATTTCTGCTTTATTCATTGATGGAAATATTTGTTTTCTTACCTCAAATAGTTAAGGCATCCACACTGGGATCTAGAGCTGATCAAAAATAAACTACCTCTATTTTTTTATTTGGATTTTTTTTTTTTAATTTTTCTACTAGTGGTAGAAATTTTTAAACAATATAATGATGCCATTTTTAGAGATATTAAAAGCTATGTTTTTCTTGCTGTCAGGTAAAGGCAACACTCAGAGGAAGTTACACACAAGCTGTAGCAGAATAGGAAAATAAATTATGGTTTTATTTTCTTCCTGAAGCCTGGAATTTGTTTAATAAGATTTTCTATAAAAGCATTTACTCTGTACATAATGATAAAAACTTTAAAATCTTCATAGCATGGTTGCTTCTTTTTTCATATAAAAATAGGACATAAAGAGATGTAGCTTTGTTCCAAGTAATGTTGTTACATACACTGTTATTCATTCAGCTCATCTGTGCTATTACGTCAATGAGCATTATATCTACAGATCTGTGCCCTGGAATAACCATAATTAGTGAAATTAAACTGGTAATAAATTTTTCTTAGCAGTAATTTTAGAACTCGTAAAAGATCAGGAGAAAGGCTTGGAGAATTTTACTCTCCACTAGTGTGCGAAATAGGCTGGATTATGGGGAGGGAGAAGGTGAAGGGAAGAGGAGGGAGAAATTAAAACATTTATTGACAGAAATATGTTTGCATGTTAAATCTGTAGAAAGGCTGTAGTTATTATATATATATATTTGTATTTATATTGTATATTATTTATGTGCCATTAAGGCACATTAATAGTTTTATCAAACTATTATACTCTTCAAGAATACCATCTTTCACTTACAGTACCTGAGAAAGACAAAGTAAGGTTTTCTTTTAACTGCCTAATGCTTTCTCATGCTTTCCCACGCTTTCCTTGGTTTTTAGTGCTACCTGCTGTAATGATAGAATGAAATTTCTGTTTTTTTCCAGCTTTTTTAAAAAAAAAGAAGTTTCTGCATAATTCTGAAATTACCCAAATGTAATAAATTCAGCACATGTAGATGTTTAAAGGGGAGATATGTTTGGGGTTGGTTTTGTGTTTTATTTTTGGGTGGGGGTGTGTCCTGGGTTCAGCAGTAGCAGTCATGTTTCTCCTTCATGGTAGCTGGTGCAGTGCTGTGTTTTGACTTCCAGCCTGGGAACAGTGCTGGTGAAACCGATGTTTTCGGTTGGTGCTAAGTGATGTTTACCCTGACCAAGGACTTTGTGAGGCTCATGCTCTGCCTGGGAGGAGGGGAAGCCGTGAGGAAGCAGAGATGGGGCGCCTGACCCAGGCTAGCCAAAGAGGTATTCCATACCACAGCACGCCATGCCGGGGGTGGGGGGTAACTGGGAGTTACCCAGAAGGACATGGGCTTCCGGGTGGGACTCGTTTCTTGGCCGGTGGTATTGTATTCTCTTTCCTTGTTATTTTCTCTTATCATTGTTGTCATTGGTGGTAGCGGTGGTGATTTGTGTTGTACATTGGTTGCTGGACTGTTTTTGTCTCAACCCGTAGGAGTTACACCCTTTTCGATCCTCCTCCCCATTGCTCCAGGAGCGGGGAAGGGGAGAGCCCCGGTTGGGGGGGGGGGGGGGGGCCCGACTGTTGTCAGCCTGACAACACTCACTGGGAGTGAGTGAACAAGTTGCCTGACGGGGTTTAAACCACGACAGTTATTTTTGGCGCCCAACGTGGGGCACTAGGGGTTGAGATAACGACAGATCTGGCCGGATTAATAGTCACTCGTCACAATGCTGATTTATTGGCTCTCAAGGTTGTTCCTCTTGATCTCACAGTTTCAGTATATCGTATCTTACTTCCATTCGGTATTTGCTGTATTAGTGTTTTTCAAGTGTGAGGCTTGGGCTAAGGTTTTTGTCTCATTGTACTTTATGGTAATGACTTGTAATACAATAGAATCATTGATCATGAAACTGATCTGGCTTATGTTCCCAGTGTGGTCACCACCTTTATACTTTGGGAAGTATATAATAGAGGTGCTTAGCAATTACACATCTTTTTTCGCCTTCTCAGGTGCTCAACCTTTGAAGGAGACATCCTTTTACCCTCCCAGTCCTCCCGCCAGACCATTTACATTTGGGAGTTTTGAAGTTTTTGAATGGCCTTTTAATGCTGTTGAGACTTGTTTGCTGATCGTGATGGGAATCACCATGCTAGCATGCATACAGAGTGTGTTTTGCCCACGACTGATTTCAAGAGTTAAGCAGAGTCAGGTTTGGATCTTGTCTGGGGTCAAATGACAATGTAGGAGGACCAGGAGATTTTCCCTGAGACTGGACAGCCATGAGTGGCAGGGTGTGTGGGATAGTATGGGCAAGTATCTAGGTCAGTGGGCCCCTCCAGTACTTTGGAATTTCACTACCGAACAACTGCAAAATCCAGAAGAATCAGTAGAACACTTAAATGAGGTGTGTGGTCATACCAGAGATGGACAAATCATGCAACGTGCTGGGGCTTGGCCTATGTTTACAGGGCCTTGTTCAACACTATCCAGCACCTTCAAAAGGAAAAGAATGTGTGTGGATCTGAGGGCAAAGCAACAGTTGCTACTCAAACTTTGGCTGCAATGAACAGAGCAGCTACCCCAGTGGCAACTACAGCAGCTGCTCGAACTTCGAATGCAACAGACAGCGCAGTTACCCCAGCTCCAAGCACAGCAGCTACACCACCCCCAGCAACAAGTACAGTTGCAGCCAAACCAAAGGACCAATTCGTACCAATATTGGTTGCCCCTGTACGCAAGAGAACAAGCAAAAAGGAGGCAAAAAGGGTGAAGCGAGATGAAGAACCAATGAATTCCCCACCCGGTCCAGAATCTGATCAGGAGTCATCATCACATGACGAAGAAGAAGACGAAGAGGTAACTTCTCGACCTCGGACCTCAACCGAGCTGCGGAATATGCGAAAAGATCTTACCCGTCAACCAGGGGAGCACATCATCACCTGGTTACTCAGATGCTGGGACAATGGGGCCGATGGTCACGAACTAGAAGGTACAGAAGCCAAGCAGCCAGGATCACTTGCTAGAGAAGGTGGAATGGACAAAGCAATTGCAAGAGAGAAAAAGTCCCTCAGCCTTTGGAGGAGGCTCTTGGCAGCTGTGAAAGAAAGGTTTCCATACAAGGACGATGTTATGAGTCGTTCAGCCAAGTGGACTACTATAGACAAAGGCATCCAGTCTCTGAGGGAATCGGCCATCGTAGAGATGATCTATCACATCAAGCCGAATAACGGGGATACACCTATAGATCCAGATGAAGTTGAATGTACATGACCCATGTGGTGAAAACTTACACGGAATGCACCGTCATCATATGCCCATTCATTGGCAACAGTAACCTGGAATGACATAGTATCATTAATAGTGGATGAAATGGTTCATAAACTCTGAGAGTTTGAAGACAATCTTACCCCTCCCATCATCTCAGCTGTGGAAAAACTGTCCCAGGATCTCAAGCAATTGAGGGACGATCTGTCAGATTTATCCAGCTCCTCACGTGTACCAACACACATCTCAGCTATTAATAAAAGGCGTCCTATTGTTCGAGAGAGGAGATACAGGAGGTATACGCCACAGGGTACCCTATGGTTTTACCTGCGGGATCACGGAGAAGACATGACAAAGTGGGATGGAAAACCTACGTCAGCTTTGGAGGAACGGGTGAGTGAATTGAAGAGGGGAGCAAGGGCCAAGACTGATCGTCCCATGAAAGCTATGGCTTCAGTCTCTGGTGAGCAGTTTCCCAGATGGAATGGAAGAGCTGATTTTACTCCAGCTCCTGTGATAACAAAGAATAATCCCTTTCACCACGACTTAAGTGTCCAACGCTGTGATGACCATTAGATTGGCCCTGCCTCCAGCCAGGTGGAGGTAGAGGACAATCGGATTTACTGGACTGTGTGGATCAGATGGCCTGGCACATCAGTCCCACAGAAGTATAAGGCTCTAGTAGATGCCGGTGCACAGTGTAGCCTGATGCCACCAAGCTGTCAAGGGGTGGAACCCGTCTATATTTCTGGAGTGACAGGAGGATCCCAAGAGTTGACTGTGGTGGAGGCTGAAATCAGCTTGACTGCGAGGGAATGGCAAAAGCGCCCTATTGTGACTGGTCCAGAGGCTCCATGCATCCTCAGCATAGACTACCTCAAGAGAGGGTACTTCAAAGACCCAAAAGGGTATCGATGGGATTTTGGTATTGATGCTTTGGAGACTGAGGAAATTGAGCAGCTGTCCACCTTGCCTGGTCTCTCAGAAGATCCCTCTGTTGTGGGGTTGCTGAAAGTCGAAGAACAGCAAGTGCCAATTGCGACCACAACAGTGCACCGGCGGCAATATCGCACCAACCGAGACTCCCTGATTCCCATCCATCAGCTGATCCGTAGACTGGAGAGTCAGGGAGCGATCAGCAGGACCCGCTCGCCCTTTAATAGCCCCATATGGCCAGTGTGAAAGTCTAATGGAGAATGGAGACTAACAGTAGACTATCGTGGCCTGAATGAAGTCACACCACCATTGAGTGCTGCCGTACCAGACATGCTAGAACTTCAGTATGAACTAGAGTGAAAGGCAGCCAAGTGGTATGCCAAGATTGATATTGCCAATGCATTTTTCTCCATTTCTGTGGCAGCAGAGTGCAGGCCACAGTTTGCTTTTCCTTGGAGGGGCGTCCAGTTCACTTGGAACCGACTGCCCCAGGGGTGGAAACACAGCCCTAGCATTTGCCATGGACTGATCCAGACTGCACTGGAACAGGGGCAAGCTCCAGAACACCTGCAATACATTGATGACATTATTGTGTGGGGCGATAATAATCCAAATCCTGCTGAAAGCCTGTTTTGCCATAAAGCGGAGTAAGGTCAAGGGACCTGCACAGGAGATTCAATTTTGGGGAATAAAATGGCAAGATGGACGTAGACAGATCCCCACAGATGTGATCAACAAGACAACAGCAATGTCTCCACCAACTAATAAGAAAGAAACGCAAGCTTTCGTGGGTGTTGTGGGGTTCTGGAGAATGCACATCCCAAATTACAGTTCGATTGTAAGCCCTCTCTATCATGTGACCCGGAAGAAGAATGATTTTAAATGGGGCCCTGAGCAACAACAAGCCTTTGAGCAAATTAAACGCGAGCTAGTTCATGCAGTAGCCCTTGGACCAGTTCGAACCGGGCCAGATGTAAAAAATGTACTGTACACTGCAGCTGGGGAGAACGGTCCTACCTGGAGCCTCTGGCAGAAAGCTCCAGGGGAGACTCGAGGTCGACCCCTCGGCTTTTGGAGTCGGGGATACAAAGGATCTGAGGCCAGCTATACCCCAACTGAGAAAGAGATACTGGCAGCCTGTGAAAGGGTTCGAGCTGCTTCGGAAGTGATTGGCACTGAAGCACAGCTCCTCCTGGCACCCCGGTTGCCCGTGCTGGGCTGGATGTTCAAAGGCAGGCTCTCCTCTACACATCATGCAACTGATGCTACATGGAGTAAATGGGCTGCACTAATTACACAACGAACTCGAATAGGAAATCTCAGTCGTCCAGGCATTCTAGAAGTCATCATGGACTGGCCACAGGGCAAAGATTTTGGAATGTCACCAAAGGAGGAGGTGGTGCGTGCTGAAGAGGCCCAACCATATAACAAACTGTCAGAAAGTGAAAAGCAGTATGCCTTGTTTACTGATGGGTCCTGCCATATTGTGGGAAAGCATCGGAGATGGAAGGCAGCTGTATGGAGTCCTGGATGACAAGTTGCAGAAACTGCTGACGGAGAGGGTGAATCAAGTCAGTTTGCCGAGGTGAAAGCCATCCAGCTGGCCCTGGACATTGATGAACGAGAAAAGTGGCCAGTACTTTACGTCTATACTGACTCATGGATGGTGGCAAATGCCCTGTGGGGGTGGTTGAAGCAACGGAAGCAGAGCAACTGGCAACGCAGAGGTAAACCCATCTGGGCTGCTGCACTGTGGAAAGATATTGCTGCCAGGGTGCAGAACCTGGTGGTGAAGGTACATCATGTAGATGCCCATGTACCCAAGAGTCGGGCCACTGAGGAACACCAGAACAACCAACAGGTGGATAAAGCTGCTAAGATTGAAGTGGCTCAGATGGACTTAGATTGGCAACATAAAGGTGAATTATTTTTGGCCCGGTGGGCCCATGACACTTCAGGCCATCAGGGCAGAGATGCAACATATAGATGGGCCCGTGATCAAGGGGTGGACTTAACAATGTACAGTATTGCCCAGGTTATTCCTGAGTGTGAAACATGCGCTGCAATTAAACAAGCCAAGCGGTTAAAGCCTCTTTGGTATGGAGGATGATGGTTGAAGTATAAATATGGGGAGGCCTGGCAGCTTGATTATATCACACTGCTGACAACTCGCCAAGGCAAGCGCCATGTGCTTACCATGGTGGAAGCAACCACCGGGTGGCTGGAAACATACGCGGTGCCCCATGCCACTGCCCGGAACACCATCCTGGGCCTTGAGAAACAGATTTTGTGGTGACACGGCACCCCAGAGAGAATTGAGTCAGACAATGGGACTAATTTCCGGAATAACCTTATAGATATTTGGGCCAAAGAGCATGGCATTGAGTGGGTATATCACATCCCCGACCATGCACCAGCCTCTGGGAAAATCGAACGGTACAATGGGCTGTTAAAAACTGCACTGGGAGCAATGGGTGGGGGAACTTTCAAGCATTGGGATACACACTTACCAAAGGCCTCCTGGCTGGTCAACACCAGAGGATCTGCCAGCGGGGCTGGCTCAGCCCAGTCAGAACTTTTACATATTGTAGAGGGGGACAAAGATCCCGTGGTGCATATGAAGAATTTGCTGGGGAAGACAGTCTGGGTTATTCCTGCTTCAGGTAAAGTCAAACCCACTCATGGGATTGCTTTTGCTCAGGGACCTGATATACTTGGTGGGTAATGTGGGAAGATGGGTAAATCCGATGTATACCTCAAGGGGATTTGATTTTAGGGGAAAACAGCCAGTTAACTCAATTGTATGCTGTTGCCTGCTGTGTAATACTTTTATAGCTCATCAACTAGATGCCTCCAGGTCACCAGCGACTGGCCCGGACTTCCCTCCAGCCATCATCCCAACAGAGAATGAACTTTGAACATCATGGACCGAATGGACTCGGCAGCATTATAGGGATTGGTCCATGCACTAAGAAAATGATCTTTTTCTTTTGGTCTGTGTGCATATGGATGTATATATGTGGGAGAGCAGTGGTGTATTGAAAATGTGGGATCTGAGCATGATGTGAATGGTATGGATTAAGGGGTGGATAATGTCCTGGGTTCAGCAGTAGCAGTCATGTTTCTCCTTCTTGGTAGCTGGTGCAGTGCAGTGTTTTGACTTCCAGCCTGGGAACAGTGTTGGTGAAACCAATGATTTCAGTTGTTGCTAAGTGATGTTTACCCTGACCAAGGACTTTGTGAGGCTCATGCTCTGCCTGGGAGGAGGGGAAGCCGTGAGGAAGCAGAGACAGGGCGCCTGACCCAGGCTAGCCAAGGAGGTATTCCATACCACAGCACGTCATGCCTGGGGTGGGGGTAACTTGGAGTTACCTGGAAGGACACGGGCTTCCGGGTGGGACTCGTTTCTTGGCCGGTGGTATCGTATTCTCTTCCCTTGTTATTTTCTCTTATCATTGTTGTCGTTGGTAGTAGCGGTGATGATTTGTGTTGTACATTGGTTGCTGGACTGTTCTTGTCTCAACCCGTGGGAATTGCACCCTTTTCGATCCTCCTCCCTGTTCCTCCGGGAGCGGGGAAGGGGAGAGCCCTGGTTGGGGAGGGGGGGGGCTCTATTGTTGTCAGCCTGGCACCAGTCACTGGGAGTGAGTGAACAAGTTGCCTGACTGGGTTTAAATCATGACAGGGTGGTGTTTGTTTTATTGGGGTTTTTGTGTTGGGTTTGGTGTTTTGTTTGTTTGTTTGTGGTTGGGTTTATTTTGTGGATTTCTAATTTTATTTTTATTTTTTTTCCTAAATGTTTGGAATACAAAATTCTCTGGTCAGTTATCCACTTACCTAGTTGGGGCAGTGATTATGACTACATACACAAATTACACAGTTCCACGTTCAACTCCTCTGGTAAATGGCATTTGGAAATCAGTTATAAGAGTGTACCATAACTTTCCAATACTGACTTGTTCAATGATAATATTCACTGGTGCTTTTGCAGCCACTGACCTAAAAAAAATATAGCGCTTTTGTTCTTCACTTTACAGATCACAAAACTGACACAGAATGGCAGAATGGTTTATCTGAACTCCCAGAGCAGAACCACACATTTACCTAAGCTGCTTTCAGTAAAGAAATCTTAAAATAATAATTTTTAAAAGCTAGAATCCATAAGCAAAAAATTCATGAGACGATTACAGTTCAATAAACCCTATTGCCCAGTGTTGGGCAGTAGCCTTTTTATGTTTTAAAGAAGGCAGTCATCTAGATTCACATCTCTGATCAAAGCAGAAGTGAAGCTGTTCACAAGTTATCAGGATAAATGAACCTCATAATGAAAAGAAAGTCCCACTTCAGGAAAAAAATATTATTCTGAAGTGCATAAAGAAAAGAGTGACTGTGATTGTCATTTACCTGTACCAATATACATAGATTATAGCAAATAAGAATTTCTCTACAACTAGATGTTGTCCAAAGGAAAAAAAAAAAAATAAAATTCAAAACAAGTAGGATTCCTATCTAAAATAAATGTCTGTTTTCTCTCCTGCCAGCAGACTGGTATCCAGACCACCAACCCCAAAATGTTAGTTGAAACACTACTTTCAGATGGAGCTCAGGTCCATTATCTGTGGATGAATCTATTATGGTGATGGAACTACAGCTGTAGTCCTAATCTCAAGAATATACTAAAATCAGAGATTTTTAGTGGGAACTGATGCCAAGAAGCTTCCTTATGAAACTTTAAAATGCTGCTTACATGTATAACAGTTCTCATTATTCCAAGCTAAGCCCTTAGGGTTACATTTTCTCAGAATAGAAATGAAGAAAAAAAAAATCTGTTTGGTGCAAGAAGCAATATCGCACTATCAAACTTATGAGTATTCCACAAATTAAAAACAAACAAAGAAACAAAACCCAAAACAAACACAAAAGAACTCTAATTCTTTAATGCTGTTATATAACAAGCTGTAAATTCATGCAAACTTTCCCTTAGAAAGATATCAAATGTCCCTCTGATTAGTTCACCACAGGAAGGAAAAGGGAAAAAACAGAAACCGTTAAAAAATTGACCTATTTTGTAACCGAGTTCACAGTAAAAATCAGCTAGAGAGGAAATGAGCTGTTGCATAATTCCAGCTTTATGTGAAAAGATGGATAAATTACTGATTACATCAGTAGATGTATTGTCATTTAATCAAATGAGAAATTAGAAATCAAACTTAATAATTCAGCTGATACTGAATATATTATCTCTCCTTGATATAATCACAGAGAAATTTAACTCTTTAAAGCATCCTAATGCCTTTTATAAGTCTGAACAAACATTTTTCTCTCAAAGAACGTAGCTACATTCCTCTTCTCTCCCATTTTTCATCTGGATGATCTTTGCATGAAAAGAGACCCTTCATGTTTTAGAGGGCACCTGCTCCTGCTGTTTGTTCTGCCCCTGAAGTCATAATCTTCTGCCTGTGACATCACAATTAGTTTCTGCAGAGCTGATTATAGCCACAAAGGATTATGACTTCAGGTGAGGGATAAGCAGCAGGAACAGATGAGCGCCTGAGGAAAATGTTCCCTGCTCATGACTGTTTCCTTAGAAACAAAGTGCAGAAAGTAAAAGTTATGCTTTATTCAAAACAAAACACTTTATGTGAGATGGGAGTATCTCCTAGCAATTACCTAGTGGTCAAATGCATATAAGTATTTTCTAGATAAAATCAAGACATGGAAAATAGTCAATATGTAATACCAACTTTCCCATAACCACATTCAATTTTGATTTATAAGGCCCAGATCATCCCATGATGTAGTAACCATACCATACAATAGATAAGCAGCGCACTTCAGAGTATCAGTAAAGATACATTCCTTGCACTAAATCTCTTACAATCTAGGTTAAATGAGAATAAGCAGAATTGTAAACAAGGCTAAAGTACAAGCCTTCCTGGTATAAAAGAACAAATTACATGATAATATAATTCTGTGGGAGGCCAATGTATATGTCTTGAAACTGACAAATGTAGATTTTAGCATGAATTAGCTGCTTACTATTTAAGAAAAGGTGGGTTTTTTTATTGCCTGTCCACCTTAACCCATTGATAGAAGCAAACCTTTCTGTCTAATGGAGACAGCAAGGGACTTTAGGACTCCACCATTTGTTTGGTAAGTTACTGTAAATAAATCTCTCAATGCATCCAGATCTCATTAACTTCTCTGTGAAATGCAGCACTGTATCCATTGCAGTAATAAGGACCTTCTAGTCCTTCATATTGGTGCATGTTCTGAATGTCAGAAATCTATCTATCTATCTATCTATCTATCTATCTATCTATCTATCTATCTATCCATCCATTCATCCATTCTATCTAAACATAATTATGAAGTTTATAGGCCACATTCTCACCTACT